AGGGGAGTGGTTAATCTTACAGTCCAGAAACAGAGGACCCTAGGACCATCAAGATAGGAATGCACAAATAGAATGTGGGACCTTATCCAGAGAAGCAGCAGTGCCAGAGATGGAGGCAGAGATGGGGGTATGGAGAGGGAGAGCGGCTAAGGAGTCTAGATTCATCAACTGAGAAGAGAAGGACTAAGAACTGGTGGCCAGGAGCAGACTTGCAGAATGTGTCCTTTGGAGATGTAAATTATTACATATGCCTGAGTGGGAAAAAAAAATAAAAACAAAAACAAAAAAAACCCACTCATGATCATCATATATTGAATTGAAAGATCTTTTTATCAAAAGTGAAAATATTTAAATTAAGCCTTTTAATTAAATGTAGACAGATATATCTTTATATATTTTTTCTTCCTACTGAAATTTAAGTAGGAAACACATGTTTTCATGTTTCAATGCTCCTAACAGGCTAAGGAGCTGTGGTAGGATAGTGGTTATGAATCAGGCTGCTAATCTCATGGTCAGCATTTCAAAACTACCAGCTGTTCTGCGGGAGAAAGATAAGGCTTTCTGCTCCTGTTAAGATTTATAGCCTCAGAACCCTGTACAGGGTCACTATGAGTCAGAACGAACTCCACGGCACATAACAACAGCAACAACAGGTTAAATACAACTTCTAATTTTTGTGACCCTTTTAAACCACTGTTGAATGATTACTGACTTCTTTTTGTTCAGTGGTAATGAATTCAGATCACTATATTAGACTAAATAGTTAACTTTCCCACAAACCTATTGAAATTCGTTGGAGTAATACATATCTTCCAAATGCAATTGTGAGGAGCTCTGCTAGCATAGTGGCTACGAATCAGGCTGCTAGTCTTATGGTCAGCAGTTTGAAACTACCAGCTGTTTCATGGGAGAAAGATGAGGCTTTCTGCTCCCGTAAAGATTTGCAGCCTCGGAAGCTCTGTGCAGGGTCACTATGAGTCGGAACCGACTCCGCAGTACTTACCAACAGCAACAAATGCAATTGTATTACTAGAAGAAACAACTAGAAGAATTATAAAACTGCAAATCCATTTTTATCTCTTTTCTAAATCATACATTTTGACCGCTCAAATGTTTACCCTTCTCATTGCTATAACTTAATAATATCTATGAGTTTCAGCTAGATGTGTAACCTTAAAGAAACTTTAGGAAGCTAACAAACTTTAGGAAACTTTAGGAAGCTAACAAACATCTACTGGGAATAAAGGATCTATAACAGGTAGACTATTCTGTGTATTCAACTGAAAAGCAGTAACTTCATTCTTGCTGATCTGATAATCTCTGAAAATGAGATTTTGCAATCAATTAAGCAGCACGTAAAATATATTTTCCTTTTATTTTTGTCATGTAAATGACTTCATTTTCAGCTTGGCAGATGAAGAACTAGGTCATACTGACAAGACATTTAACAGATTAAGAAAGAAACACTGAAAAATTTTATTCCCTTAGAAAAGTAGAGGTTAACATCAGACAAATGTTAATGAAGTATTAATCTGCAAATTAAACAGGAGAATTTTGGCAAAGAAAAAACAACCACTGTTGGAAAATCAGCATTCTATCTTCCACTGCTTCTCAGTCCCTTATATTCCAGCTTCTGCTCTGACCATTGTAACTACAGCAATGCCCAGAGGGTCATCACAGGGCTGCACATACCATTCACTTTACATTTCTCTGTCTTTCCTCACAACATACAACACTGCAAGCAACCTTCTAGAAAATCCCACCTAGAATATTCTAGAAACTTTCTCTTCCTTTAATTTTTCTGACACTGCTCTCCAAATTTATTTCCTAACTTACCATTTTGTGTTCTCTTTATTCCTCCTTTCCTTTTTCCTAAAATGTAAGCATCCTCTCATATGTTCGCATTAATCCCTTACATTGAATTAAAAGACAATGGAACTTTTCCAGGAATTTTCTGAAGCCCTCTCATATAATCTCAGCCTTCACTTGGTTGTCATCCATAGTTCTATTTCCATCCATATGAACATGATTCTGAAATCTATATAATTCTTAAGTTCCAGATGAACATTTTCAGCTGGAGGGTGGGAAGAAGTGTAATGAGTGTATTTCTATAAAATAGTCAAACCTTAACTCATGGGTTCCTTTCTACCATCTATCCATCCTTTCCTCATCTTTCTCATTTTATTTAGCTTTAACCTTCTTAAAATTTATTTTCACATTAAAATTCTCAATTTTCAGTAATTCCCATGATTACATTTAAGTTATAACAATGTTACAAAACCCAAGTTAAAGGTCAAATTTCCTAAATTTTAAACTCTATTTGACTTATCATATTTTCCAAAATCAAGCAATGTATTGCATTAAGCAAACCTGCTGCACAAGACCTTTTTAAAGTGTTGAAGAGCAAAGATGTCAGCTTGAAGACTAAGGAGCGCCTGACCCAAGCCATGGTATTTTCAATAACCTCATATGCATGAGAAAGCTGGACAGTGAATAAGGAAGACCATGGAAGAATTGATGCTTTTGAGTTCTGGAGTTGGAGGAGAATATTGAAAGTGCCATGAGCTGCCAAAAGAACAAACAGATCTGTATTCAAAGAAGTGCAGCCAGAGTGCTCCTTGGAGGCCAGGATGGCCAATCTTCATCTCTCATACTTTGCACACATTGTCAGGAGGGACCAGTCACTGGAGAAGGATATCAGAGAAAAAGAGGAAGACCCCAACGAGATGGATTGGCAAAGTGGCAGCATCAGTGGATTCAAGCATGGCAACAAGGGTGAGGTTATCCCAGGCCTGGGCAGTGTTTCATTCTGTTGTGCATAGGGTCACTATGAGTCGGTACTGACTTGATGGCACCTAACAACAACAACAACATGTAAATGAACTTATTTTAAAGAATCAATTGACTTATATATATCATGGATTTAGGAAAAATGAGAAGTTTCCAAATTTTATTTCTTAATGAGAAAAAGGTAAAGATAGGAATTAGAGGGCATAGATTAGTTTTTCTTCACAGTCTTTGTAGTGGGGATGGGCTACCTTAAATACTCTTTTTCTCAGTCACGAGGATGAAAGCAGAAAAAAAAAAAAAAAAAAAGCACTCCTGTTTCCTGTGTTCCATGCAATAGGATCTCTTTATTGAAATCAATGAAGATAATCTTAGCACAGAAGTTAAGTTTTCATTGATGCCAAGAGCAGAAAGGACTCTACACTACAGATGTTTTTCCTACTTTCTCTTCCATTTGCAGGTTTCATCTAGTCTTCAAAAAACAGGCAGGTCTACCTTCAGTTGTTTTAATCCTTTTTGTCTATGGAAACACAGACTGGATCTCATTTAAGAGAATGCCTGAACTCCTAAAAGTGCAAGAAGACACACTGGATGAGGTGCAGAACAGACACTGGAGCATGAAGTCCAAAGTATAGAAGACTTGGATGGAAGTGATGTGATGAGAAAAATAAGTTAGATTGAGGACAGTCCCTGGAGAATAAAATAAGAATGTGGACCAGAAGCCACCAGCACATCCATTTTGGATCACTATAAAAAATCACTTTGATAGTATAGAACTCTGGGTGCTGCAAACAATTAGTATGTTTGGCTGCTAACCGCAAGGTTGCAAGTTCAGGCATACACAGAAGATTCTTAGAGGAAAGACCTACCCCTCTACTCCCCAAAATCAGCCATCAAAAATCCTTTGGAGCACAATCCTATTCTGATATACACAAAGTTGCCATGAGTTGGAAACTAGAATTTACTCTTCAACTAAAAACATAAAGCATAGGTTGGACAAATAAATACTAGCAATATTACAAAGAATATTTGAGCACTTGTCACTCTAAATGACTTTTCCATGGTTTTCTACCCTGAAAAACCAGGATTCTAGTTCTGCTCAGTCACATGGTTATGGTCCCCCATCCTGTGCTGTAACTAAGGCCAATCTTCATCTTTTGTCAATTCATTGTTTTCACATTTTCTACCCTACAACATTGATTCTCCTTTTAATTTATTTTCTTAGTCCCAAATCCTATCACTTTTCCTGAAGGAAGTACTGAGTCCTTCTCAATAACACATATTCAATTACCCTCTGATAATATGTTGTTATTGTTGTTGTTAGGTGTCATCTAGATGGTTCCGATTCATAGTGATCTTGTGCACAACAGAATGAAATACTGCCTGGTTCTGCACCATCCTCACAATCATTGTTCTGCATGAGCCCATTGCTCCTGCCACTGTGCTACTGTGTAGGGATCTTCTCCTTTTTCACTGACCCTCCATTTTATCAAGCATGACATCCTTCTCCAGTTTCCGTGAGTGTCATTACAGCCAACTCTACTTTGAGATGGAAGCTCTTCCCCAATGGTATTTTGATGCCTTCCTACCTGAGGGGCTCATAATATTTCAATCTTAAATATTCTGTTGCTATCAGACAGTATTCCACTAATATTCACAATATTTTCAGTGGCTAAACCAGCTGCTCCGCGGGAGAAAGATGAGGCGATCTGCTCCCGTAAAGATTTACAGCCTCGGAAACCCTATTCAGGGTCGCTATGGGTCGGAACCGACTCGACGGCACTTAACAACAACAACAACCATTCAGAAGTAGTCTGCTCTCCTTCGTTCTAGTCTGTCTTAGTCTGGAAGCTCAGCTGAAACCTGGAAGCACGAGTGACACTGCTGGCATTTAAAATACCAGTGGCATAGTTTCTAGTATCAGGAACACCCAAGCCACCACAGTATGACAAACTGAAAGAGGAGTCACGGCTCTAATAATATAGGTGTGGTTAAGTGCTGTCAAGTCAGTTTCAGTTCATCATGACTGACCCTGTATAAGTTTTAAATCTTTGCAACAGCAGAAACCCACACATTTCTCCTGTGAAGTAGCTGGTAAAATTGAACTGCCCACCTTGTGGCTTGTAGTCCATTGCTTATCATAAGGAACCACTGTGCTCCAATAATATACCAAAATAAATAAGTAGAGTGTTTTATAGATAATACTCTGTCAATTTGTCATGTAGTTCCACATATTCAGTCACTGAAAATTTGTGAATAACTGTGGAACACTGCCAGATACAGAATATTGAGTACTGAAACATGATTTTTTTAAAAAGGACCAAAATATTGTCAAATACAGGAGATGAGATCCTCAGGTTGGAAGGCACTCAAAATATGACTGGGGAAGAACTAACTGCTTCATCAAAGTTGAGTTGAATGTGATGATGTAAATGTAGTAAAGCCTTTGGGACCTTCGTTTGCTGATGGGGCACAATTCAAAATGATAAGAAACAGCTATAAACATCCGTTAATAATAGGACATGGAATATATGAAAGATGAATCTGGAAGAATTGGAATTTGTCAAAAGTGAACTGGAACATATGAACATTGATAACTTAGGCATTAGTGAGCTGAAATGGACTGGTATTGGCTGTTTTGAATTTCACAGTCTTATGTTTTAATATGCCGAGAAAGAAAAAATTGAATAGGAATGGTGTCACATTCATAATCAAAAGGAGTATTTCAAGATCTATCTTGAAGCACAATGTTGTGCTGTCTGTGTTAGGCTAATATCCATACACCTACAAGGAAGACCTGTTAATACAACTATTATTCAAATATACATACAAACCACTAAAGATAGTGATGATGGAATTGAAGAATTCTTCAAAATTCTTCAGTCTGAAATTGATCAAACATGTAATCTAGATGTATTGATAATTACTGGCGATTAGAATGCAAATTTTGGAAATGAAGAGGAAGGATCAATAATTGGAAAATAGGGCCTTGGTGATAAAAATAATGCTCGAGATCACATAATGATAGAATTCTGTAAAACCAATGACTTATTCAATTCAAATACTTTTTTAAATAACATAAAAGACAACTATATACATGGACCTCTACAGATGGAATACACAGAAATCAAACTGATTACATCTGTGGCAAGAGATGATAGAAAAACTCCATATTATCAGCCAAAACAAGACCAGGGCAGACTGAGGAACAGACCATCAATTGCTCATAGGCAAGTTCAGACTGAAACTGAAGAAAAATTAAAATAAGTCCATGAAAGCCAAAATATGACCTTGAATATATCTCATCTGAATTTAGAGACCATCTAAACAACAGATTTTTTAAAAAACTGTTTGGTTGTGAATTATGTGATAGTTTACATGGGATAACATTAGCTTTACATTCACCCTATCGTATATCGTTACATTGCCATGGTTACAATTCCCTCCATGCATCATCAACCAACCAAAGGGTACACCTCGCAAGCCTGACCCCTGGTCGTCAGCACACAGCCCCTCTCCCTCTCTGGATCTAGAGTCCCCAGCTGCTCCATCTCTCCACATCATCATCTTTGCCTACATCTCTGGTGTCACTGTTTCTCTGGGAAGGGTCCTGCACTCCACTCTTTCCTCTTGATGGTCCCAGAGGCCTCCTCTACTGGACTGAAAAGTCAACCACTCACTTTATTTTGCTACAAAACCTCTACCTTTACATTTCCCACCCTCACAGTTAGTCCTGACAGTAATTATTCACTATTGTACCACATGAGTACTATCCCCATCTCCTTTTATCAGTCCTGCCCAGACAGACTGGACACTACTCAATGGAGAGTCTACCTTCCTCCACATCCTCTGGATCTAGACTTCCTCTTGAAAGCTTGTAAGTCAGTCACTTCTTGCCTGTGTAGTGCCCCCTTCCCCCATTTTGGGTAGCCA